AAAGCTCACATAAAAGTTTGCTTTACTGTATACCCCAACAATCTCCCACTTATACTCAAAGTCTAGCTGCCACACATCGTAAACCAAGACCCTTTGTTTCTCGAAGACATTGGCAGTCAGAGTCTTCGTGAAAGGATCAGCTACGTTATCCAACGATGCTATCTTCGTCACAACTACATCTTCTCGTTTCACGATCTCTCGTATAAGGTGGTACTTTCTCTCGATGTGTTTACTGGCCTTATGTGCTCGGGGTTCTCTCGAGTTTGCGACTGCACCAGCGTTGTCACAATAAATTTTGATACACCTAGGCACACTCGAAGATACCCCTAAGTCCCGTAAGAAGCTTCTGAGCCAAACAGCCTCCTTTGTTGCTTCTGAAGCAGCAACGTATTCGGCTTTCATGGTAGAATCTGCGATGCATTTCTGCTTCACACTCCTCCATGAGATCGCTCCGCCTCCCATCATAAACACATAACCCGAGGTCGACTTTCTCGTATCTCGATCATCCTGGAAATCAGAATCTGTGTAACCCAAAGGAGTTAGACCGTCTGACTGGTAAACAAGCATATAATCCCGAGTTCTTTTCAGATACTTGAGAATATGCTTTACCGCAGTCCAGTGTCCTTGACCAGGATTAGACTGATATCTCGCAACCATGCCAACCGCATAGCAAATATCAGGTCTCGTGCACAGCATGGCATACATAAGGCTTCCTACAGCCGAAGCATAAGGAACCTTAGCCATTTCCTCTATCTCCTTTTGTGTCTTCGGACACATATATTCTCTTCTTCCTGTCACGAATGACCTTGATTCCAAGAATGTACGATGCCTCTCCCAAGTCCTTCATTTGAAACTGTTCTGAAAGCCATACCTTTACGTCTGACAAAACTTGACATAGTTACCGATGAGAAGAATATCATCTACGTATAGTACTAAGAATACCACTACGTTTCCGCTGCTCTTTTTGTATACACAACTTTCATCTTGACATTGGTCAAATCCATAGGACTTGATCACCTAGTCAAAACGAATATTCCAAGACCTAGAAGATTGTTTTAGTCCATAAAGAGACTTCTTTAGCTTCCATACTCGATGCTCTTGTCCTTTCTTCACATAACCCTCGGGTTGCTGCATATAGATGTCTTCATCCAAGTTTCCGTTAATGAAAGCTGTCTTGACATCCATTTGCCAAACCTCATAGTCCATGTAACTTGCTATGGATAAGAGAATCCGGATCGACTTAAGCATGGCTAGCGGTGAGAAGGTCTCATCATAATCGATTCCCTCTTTCTGAGTGAAACCCTTCGCAACCAGCCGTGCTTTGAAGGAAATAACCTTCCCTTCAGATCCTCTCTTACGCCTATAGACCCATTTGCACCCAATGGCTTTCTTGCCTCCAGGAAGGTCCCTAAGGTCGTATACATCCATAGCATCTATAGATTCAATCTCAGAATCCATAGATTTTTGCCAAGAATCTGCATCTACGTCTTGGATTGCCTCATTGTAGGTCCAGGGATCACTATCATGCTCTTCACTTGGGATCAAGTCTGAAGACTCTCCCACAAACATGAAACGATCGGGCTGACAAACAACCCTCCCACTACGACGAGGCAATTCGGGTGTAATTACATCAGAGTCAACACGTTGTGCAGTCTCTTGTGGTATATCCTCTTGCACACTCGGTATGCCATTGTCTGCCCTCAACTCTTTGAGAATAATCTCACTCTTGGACTTATGCTCACTCATATAGTCTTTCTCTAAAAATCGGGCATTGGTGCTAACCACTACCCTCTGATCTTTAGGACTATAAAAGTAACCACCTCTCGTTCCCTTTGGGTAACCTACAAACATTCGTACTTCTGTTCTAGGTACCAACTTATCAGCTTCCTTATCCAACACATGTGCTGGGCAGCCCCAAATCTGAATGTGGTTTAAACTGGGCTTGCACCTGGACCACAATTCTATTGGAGTTTTCGGAACTGATTTAGAAGGTACAAAGTTAAGAAGGTACGCCGCCGTTTCCTAGGCATATCCCCAAAACGAGGTAGGTAATGAAGCATGGCTCATCATCGATCTCACCATTTCCAACAGAGTCCTATTCTTTCTCTTTGCTACGTCATTCTGTTGGGGAATACCAGGCGCAGTCAGCTGGGATGTAATCCCATTCTCTAATAAGTATTGCCTAAATTCATTGCTAAGGTATTCGCCACCACGATCGGATCGCAGTGACTTGATACTTTTCCTTTGACGGTTCTCCGCTTCTGCCTTGAATTCTCTGAACTTGTCAAAGCATTCAGACATGCGGCGCATCAAGTAAATGTACCCATATCTTGAGTAATTTTCAATGAAAGTAACGAAATACTCAAAACCACCTCTAGCTTGAATAGACACAGGCCCACACAAATCAGAGTGAATCAATTCCAATAAATCATTGGACCTACTCCCCTTGGCCTTAAAGGGCCTAGAAGTCATCTTGCCTTCCAAACAGGATTCGTAGACTGGAAATGGTTCAACTTGGAAAGATTCCAAGAAGCCATTACCTACCAGCCTTTGGATCCTCCTTAGATTGACATGACCCAACCTTAGGTGCCAGAAATATGTCTGATTCGACTCAGAAGGTTCTTTTCTCTTGTTTAGTGATGAAGATGCATGAGCCTCAGTCACAGTATGATATGCGCAAGTAATAGTATAAAGATTGTTAACCAACATGCCAGAACATATAAAAGAGTTATTTCTCATAATAACAACATTGTCATTAAAAATAACTGAATATCCATCTAAAAACAGCTTCGAAACTGAAATTAAATTCTTCCGAAAACTCGGCACGTACAAAATGTTCTTTAATACTAAAACAGAATCAGAAAAAGATAAGTGCACATCTCCCACTGTAACCACCGCCACTCGTGTAGCGTTGCCCAAGCTGATGGTAATCTCGCCCTCACTGAGTTGCCTTCTTTGCAGAAACCCCTGCAAAGTATAACAAACATGATCAGTGGCTCCTGTATCTACTACCCAAGAACTGGTAGAACAAGCCGCAAAGCATGTTTCGACAACTAAAGCAAGAGACGTACTAGGAGCGTCCTTGAGGGGACAATCTGACTTCCAATGTCCTGTCTTGTTGCACTTGAAGCACTTGCCTTTCAGCTTAACCACGCCACTAGAAGGCGCTACCGCTTTGCTCCCACCACTCCCACTGCTCCCACCGGATCCACCACTCTTTTTCTGCACTTGCTTTTTCTTCTTCCCGCCTTTCGACGAAGAAGGTCCATCTTGTACAGAAACATGAGCCTGTGGTCCCCTTCCCATAAGACCCTCCGCTGCAACCAAGTCCATAAGAAGCTCGGCTAGAGTATAGCCCTTTTTATTCATGATTGCATTCAGGCGGAAGTTCTCATAGGACTTCAGGAGCGAGTGCAGGATGATATCGATCTTGGCTTCGCCATCGATATTTCCTCCGAGCACATCTATCTCATTCAGATATTCCATCATCTTGAGAACATGCTCTCGCACAGAAGCTCCCTTTGGCATGACAGAATACATAATCTTCCTCATAGCCTCAAACTGAGCAGCCCTATCTTGCTCACTTAAGAGTTCCTTGAGGCTCAACATCATGTCAGCAGCAGTAGGCATGGTGTGAGATTGTTGTTGCAAAACATTTGACATGGATGCCAAGATGTAGCAACGAGCCATCTCATCAGCCTTATGCCACTTCTGATGAGCCTCCCTTTTCTCTTCAGTATATTGGGCGCTCAAAGGAGCAGGAGCAGGAGTGGTGAGCACAAACTTATACTCATCAGCAACAAGGACAATATCCAGATTTCTCTTCCAGTCCAAATAATTTGGACCAGTAAGCTTGTTTTCATTGAGAATGACCATAAGCGGATTGAATGACATGATGAATAACTGAAATAAATAATTGCAAACACGTAAGCAATAATTCACATAAATTTGAAGCAAAAAATATGGAAACCTTCAAAAACCGTTATTTAATGCAACCTTTGAAAACTTAACGAACACACATACAAGCCACGTTGGGTGGATGTTTACACATATTTCAATCAAGCAGACACCCAGTCATTAATCTCAATTGCACGCCAACCTGTCTTTATGGCGAATAAAATTAATAGTCGAAATTTTTAACACTGGCCATGTGAATTAAAACAGGGACTCCGTTGGGGAGTTATATTAAAATCCACATCTAAGTGATTACCACAATTTAACTCTAAGAACAATCATCCACAATTGATGAACCTACCGATGGGAAAGACACATCGCTTGTAAATAATTTTCTATGGTTATCTCGAAATAATCTTTACCGGTGAGCTTATGAATGACACTATCCGTTAGGGAGGAGACCCCATGCGTCACGCGTATTCCACTCACTTCACCTAAAGGTTAAGTCGTTTGAATAGAAGTCTTATCTAGTAAGCTCGTGAATGCAGCATCCATTAGGGGGAGACTCCCAGGGTCCCGCGAGCGACAAACACCTTACTTGAAAACCAATTGTGGAGGCCAAATGAATTAATTAAAATTCACATTAAATTCACTTAGTCATTTTTACTTGAAGGTTTTTAACAGCATGCAATAAGAAATAATAAAATTCCTATCATGCTCCTAACACGCAAATCACATAAATCCTAGCATGCTCTTAAAATTCAAAACAAAAGCAATAACAACTTTCTATGAATTTATAGCACCTATTCACATGATTTCTAGCATGCCAAAATTCGATTTAAATCAGCTAGACACATAATCAAATAAACATGCTCTAGCAAAATTAAATCGGCATCCACAAAGCGATAAAAAATATGAAAACTAAAACACATCTATCGCAGCCCCTTTAAAACCAACCACTAATAGCCTATCAAAAACCATTACATGATTCAGCAAGGTCGTGGATGAACACTCGAATCGGCATCTCGCGTAAATCGGGTCACTCACGCAATATTGACACCCACAGACGGAAAAGGGCTGAAAATTTCATCTAGACGATTGAATTTGACCCCACCACTGGATGTCACAGCAAATCAGCGACATGTGTAGATCTCGCTCTCCCGTTTCCGAAATGGTATTATGGGCTGAAATCGGACATCTGTAGCAAAAGTTATGGCCAAGACGGTTTTTGCCGACGAAAATGCCCCCGGTGAATGTTGAAACCCTAGCCGCCGCCTCAGGTTGATCATCTTCATCACGTTCGACTTTGAACACAAATTTACAGCAAAAATCGAACAAGAACAGCCCTACTACAGTCTACAAAATAGCCTATACTACCCACACTTATTATCTGGTGGGAAAAACGATTACAACAATACACAAGGGTTGCGATAGACACCATCCAGAAGCATAAACGAGATAAACAATCATCCATACCATGAACATGACTGAAAACGAATAAACGAATAAATGAAATCAACTACATGTTCCAGGTAGAGCCGATAATCTACGAAACCGAGGCTCTAATACAAATTGTTGTAACACGCCGACGAGGCGGTCCTTCCCACGGATCGATATCGGATACCAAACATGTACGTACATGATTTCGAATAACCCTAGGCATGCTCCTAAAGGACAAACAGAGAATTACCTTGAAAAGGAGGTTTGATTCGATCTGAGCGACCTTCTAGTATGTGTCCCGACCACGCTTGGACGCCAGATGGACGACGATCCTCCAAACGGTTGAAAGAAGCAGACTGCCCTCGTCTTTCTCTAACCCTTCTCGTTACTCTCTCCACGATGGTGGCTGGAGTGTCTCACGAAATTGCTAGGGTTTAGAGCGTGGGAGGTCCCCTCCTTTTATAGAGGTCCTTGGGCCAGACTAGGGATCTCTTAGAAGGTATAGGGTTTGGGCTCCTTACAGGCCCAAATTCTTATGTTCAGCCCAAAACACAATTTGGTCCGTAAATATTAATTCATTCCACTAGAGAATTAATATTGCACTCCTGTCCTATCCCGAAATGAATCAGGGCTTCTATTAGACTCGATATCATTCCCCGTGTTTAAGATATCGCACGTCCATTAATTATTAAAGCTTTTGACTGCTTTAATTAATCAATATCTTTTATTCCTTAAGTAGTACCACTCAACCTTATTATCGTACGGATTAAATCCACCTGCAGGGTTTATACGATAATCCTTATGAGTTCCTTAAGGGGAAGTCATCAACCTGGATATCCAGGACACGGTGCCCTAATGCCAATAAATAGATATCATGCAGATAATGTTGTTACCCAAGATACAGAACATATTGAACCAATACTTGGCTCTCACCCATTGTAAATCAAAGTAACAAACAAATATCCCACATATCTAAGTATCACAATTAAGGTTAAGAATTAGTAGAGTCACCGAGACCTAGGTTCTTCATGATAGTCAGAACAGAAGAACACGTCTCAACTGTGATCCATTCAATGCGACACAGCGCACTAGTATAAACCAATAGCCAAGACAAGCTATATCCAGTTTATACTACAATCTAAACCGATAGTCATGTCCATAACTATCTCAATTGTGAATACCATTTATATCTTATAAGTGACCGATAATGTAATCTTCTGTGTGACTACTAACACACCACATTGTCTACAATATAAGATAATTGGACATTTAGCATACAAGCAATCATAAAGAATGCAACAATGTGAAAACATTTATTTCAGTCGAATGGGAAATCGAATAAATACAATCCAAAAACTCACATAAAAGTTTGCTTTACTGTATACCCCAACACCAGGCGCAGTCAGCTGGTATGTAATCTCATTCTCTAATAAATATTGCCTAAATTCATTGCTAAGGTATTCGCCACCACGATCAAATCGCAGTGACTTGATACTTTTCCCTTGACGGTTCTCCGCTTCTGCCTGGAATTCTCTGAACTTGTCAAAGCATTCAGACTTGCGGCGAATCAGGTAAATGTACCCATATCTTGAGTAATCGTCAATAAAAGTAACGAAATACTCAAAACCACCTCTAGCTTGAATAGACATAGGCCCACACAAATCAGAGTGAATCAATTCTAACACATCATTGGACCTATTCCTCTTGGCCTTAAAGGGCCTAGAAGTCATCTTGCCTTCCAAACAGGATTCGCAGACTGGAAATGGTTCAACTTGGAGAGAGTCCAAGAAGCCATTACCTACCAGCCTTTGGATCCTCCTTGGATTGACATGACACAATCTTAGGTGCCAAAGATATGTCTGATTCGACTGGGAAGGTTCCTTTCTCTTATTTAGTGATGAAGATGCATGAGCTTCAGTTACAGTATGATATGCACAAGTAATAGTATAAAGATTGTTAACCAACATGCCAGAACAGATAAAAGAGTTATTTCTCATAATAACAACATTGTCATTAAAAATAACTGATATCCATCCAAAAACAACTTCGGAACTGAAATTAAATTCTTCCAAAAACTCGGCACGTACAAAATGTTCTTTAATACTAAAACAGAATCAGAAAATGATAAATGCACATCTCCCACTGCAACCACCGCCACTCGTGCAGCGTTGCCCAAGCTGATGGTAATTTCGCCCTCACTGAGCTGCCTTCTTTGCAGAAACCCCTGCAAAGTATAACAAACATGATCAGTGGCTCATGTATCCACTACCAAAGAACTGGTAGAACAAGCCGCAAAATATGTTTCGACAACTAAAGCAAGAGACGTACCAGGAACGTCCTTGAGGGGACAATCTGTCTTTCAATGTCTTGTCTTGTTGCACTTGAGTACTTGCCTTTCGGCTTCACCACGCCACCAGAAGGCGCTACAGCCTTGCTCTTACCATTCCCACTGCTCCCACTGGTCCCACTGGTTCCACCACTCTTTGTCTACACTTGCTTTTTCTTCTTCCCGCCTTTCAAAGAAGAAGGTCCAGCTTGTACAGAAACATGAGCCTGTGGTCCCTTTCTCATAAGACCCTCCGCTGCAACCAAGTCCATAAGAAGCTCGGCTAGAGTATAGCCCTTCTTATTCATGATTGCATTCAGGCATAAGTTCTCATAGGACTTCGAAAGCGAGTGCAGGATGATATCGATCTTGGCTTTGCCATCGATATTTCCTCCGAGCACATCTATCTCATTCAGATATTCCATCATCTTGAGAACATGCTCTCGCACAGAAGCTCCCTCTGGCATGACAGAAGACATAATCTTCCTCATAGCCTCAAACCGAGCAGCCCTATCTTGCTCACCAAAGAGTTTCTTGAGGCTCAACATCATGTCAGCAGCAGTAGTCATGGTGTGATGCTGCTGTTGCAAAAAATTTGACATAGATGCCAAGATGTAGCAACGAGCCATCTCATTAGCCTTATGCCACTTCCGATGAGCCTCCTTTTCCTCTTTAGTGGATTGGGCGCTCAAAGGAGCAGGAGTAGGAGTGGTGAGCACAAACTTGTACTCATCAGCAACAAAGACAATATCCAGATTTCTCTTCCAGTCCAAATAATTTGGACCAGTAAGCTTGTTTTGACTGAGAATGACCATAAGCGGATTGAATGACATGATGAATAAGTGAAATAAATAATTGCAAACACGTAAGCAATAATTCATATAAATTTGAAGCATAAAATATGGAAACCTTCAAAAAACCATTGTTTAATGCAACTTTCGACAACTTAACGAACACACATGCAAGCCACGTTGGTGGACGTTTACACATATTTCAATTAAGCAAACACCCAGTCATTACTCTCAATTGCACGCCAACCTGTCCTTATGGTGAATGAAATTAATAGTCGAAATTTTAACACTGGCCATGTGTATCAAAATAGGGACTCCGTTGGGGAGTTATATTAAAATTCACATCTAAGTGATGACCACAATTTTAAC